CAATCCTGGTGTGTGTATCGCCAAGCTGTCTCCTCACCGACCTAGCTAGCCAGCTCACATCTTGACGCTCCAACTTCACACCACTTACACAACGTGGACCCGATCGTAGCCTGGCCAAGATGCAACCAGAAAACGTGGTAATCACGGCGCACTGCCTCTGCAGGAAACACACATTTACTGCTTCGCTACCTACATCAAGCCTACCTCTGGAAGCGACTGTCGACCACAGCGATGGCGCGCGATACTTGACTGGCGGTTTGTTCCTCGCCACGGCGCCGTGGCCGACGCCGCAGGAGAACGTTTCTACCTTGAAAGCATACACCGTCTCCAAGACCGTCGAGACCTTTTCGTGTGCCACATGTTCATCGCAAATGTTTCAGCGAGAAGATGGTCAGTTGAGAGTCATCACCGGCGTTCTAGGAAAGAACAAAGGACTCGTGCAGTACAGCAAGCACACAGGTATGGAGGGCACGAAAGATGGAGGGGCCGCGCCATGGTTCGGCCAAACCGCTCCATCCGAGCAAGCAACAAGCAAGGCGTGCGCCGAATCCAGCGAAACGGAACTGCGATGCCACTGCGGCGGCGTACACCTCGTACTTCATGGCGCGCGTGCCGAAGACGCTGAAGCGTGGCGCGCGATTGTCGATCCCGAGTCAAAGCGATACCTGGCAACACTCGACGCTTGCGACTCGTGTCGCACGACGGTGGGCTCCGACATAGTCTGCTGGGCATTTGCACCGATTGCGCGCGTCAAGTTTGCCGGCGAGTGGTTCGGGTTTCCGACCAACGTGGCTGATCTCAAGGCCGCTGTCCTGCGAGGCGTTGCGGGGCTCGGGACCATGAAAGTGTACGGGAGCTCGCAAGGCGTCGAGCGCTTCTTCTGCGGGCGATGTGCCCGCCTCTGTTTTCTACACGAGCAGCACACGGCCGAAGCAGGTTGACATCACCGTCGGACTCTTGAGGCGGCCCGACGGCGCAAGAGCGAATGGTGCGCTGAGCTGGGCGCTGGGCAGGGCGGATTATCTCGAGGATGTTAAGGGGGGATGGCGTGAGACTGTGATCAACGGATTTGTCGAAGGCAGCGAGCGCTGGAGGGTAGACAAGGGCGTCGCTGAGGATTTCCTGAGGGCCAGAGGTGACGTGTGAATTGGTGGCATTTCATCTTGGCCTCCACTGCGGCCTCCATTCGGGAAGCGAGTTTGACTCTGTACTTTTACTATCTTTATGTACTTGTACATTGAAGGGAAGCAGCCACGGGGGCGGGGGCGGGTATCAAGAGGGGGGGGAGGGAGTTGTGTATCTATCTCATGAACGCAACGCCGAGGCGACGCCAATCAAGCCAGCGAAAGGCCATTTCAGAGCCAACCTGTCCACGAGTCCCTTCTTCGCGCGCTCCTTTTCAATGTCGACACGCACCTTGTCGTAGACGGTGGGCAGCGTCGTGGCGTGGTACTTGAGGCGCAGCTCGTCGTACCACGCGCGGCCGTAGATGGCCCAGAAGTCGTCCTCGTCATAGTAGGCGTGCGAGTACAGCACCTTGC